CTCTCGCGTGCGCACATTCTATCGCTCGCAATGTCGTGGCGACCACTCTCTCGCGACACAATCTCTCTTCGGCGCCTTCTCTCGAGCGCAGTCTTTCTACGGCGCTGCCTTTCTCGTGTGTACTCACATGCAGTCATTCTGTCGCGCGCACTATTGTGCACAATCCCTCGCGTGAACACATTCTCGCGCACACACAATTTTGCACACACTCTCGTGCAGTCTTTCTTCAGCGCACACTCGTTCAAGATCACAATCTCTGGTGAGCGTTCTCTCGCGTGCACTCTCACGGGCACTCTCTCTCGCGTAAATATCGCGTGCACTCTCGCGCAGTCTCTCTCTTGCACTGTTTCAAGCTTACACTCCCTCACGCAGTCTCCTGCATGAACACTCTCTCGCACACACCCTCTCACACGGGAACTTTCTCTCTCTCGCACACTCTCGTGCAATCTTTCTCTCTTTGGCGCACACTATTTCGAGCTCACAATCATGTACTCTTGTACACTGTCTCACGAACACTCTCTCGTGTGAAAACTCTCGCCCACACAATGTCTCGCCTGCACACTCTCTCAGTATCTCTCTCGTGCGCACTTTATATCCCACAATCTATGTCGCACAATTCCTCGTGCGAACACTCTCTCTCCTGCACTCTATCGCGCGAAATGTCTGTTGCTCGCACACTCTCTCGTGCACTGTCGCGCAGTCTCTCTCTCATCCGCACTTTCTATCGCACCACATTATCACTCACAATCTATCGCATGAATTCCGGTTCCTGCACTCTCTCCCATTCACACACTGTGGTGCAGTCTCTCTCTGATCTGCGCTCCTCCTCTGGAGCGCACAATCTCTCTCACGCGCGTATTCTCACGTTCTCTCTCTCTCCTCCGCAAACTCTGTCTATCCGCACTCTCTCAATGCGAACATCATGTCGCCCTCACACTCGCTCACAGTCTCTCTATCTTCGGTGTACACTCTCCCGAGTGCACTTTCTATCTCACGCGCTCTATTACGCGCATCTCTGTTGCACGAACACTCTCACACACACAATGTCTCACACAGTCTCTCTTTCACAGATAATGTTAATATCTATGTTGCTGACTGTATGAGATGTGTGCGCATCTGTGCGTCTGTCTGTTCGTGTATGTCTTTGTGTATCGGTGCATGTGTGTGTGTGTCTGTGTGTGCCTGTTTGTGTGTGTGTCTGTGTGTGCCTGTTTGTGTGTGTGTGTCTGTGTGTGCTGTTGTGTGTGTTGTCTGTGTGTGCCTGTTTTGTGCGTGTGTCTGTGTGTGCCTGTTTGTGTGGTTGTGTCTGTGTGTGCCTGTTTGTGTGTGTGTGTCTGTGTGTGCCTGTTTGTGTGTGTGTAAGGTGCTGTGTCTGCTTGTCAGTATGTGTGTAGTGTGTCTGAGTGTTATCCTGTTGTCGGCTGTTGTGTGTCTGTGTGTGCCTTGTGTGTGTGTAGTCTGTGTGCTCGTGTTGTGTGTCGTGTGCTGTATGTGCCTGTTTGTGATGTGTGTGTCAGTGTGTGATAAGCCTGTGTGTGTGTGTGTCTGTGTGTGCCTGTTTGTGTGTGTGTCTGTGCGTATGTGTTTGTGTTTATCTGTATTTTGTGTGTGTGTGCGTATGTCTGTGCGTATGTCTGTGTGTGCCTGTCTGTTTTTATCAGTGTTTATGCGTGTGTGTCTGTGTCTGTGTGTGTGTGTCTGTCTGTCTCTCAGTCTTTGTCTCTCTCTCTCTCTCTCTCTCTCTCAGGATGCACTGTACAGTGTAGTGACTGTGTTTTGTCAATATAGAGGTTCCTACTGTTAATATCAGAGTATATAGAGATGAAACTGTGACTGTGTATGTGTGTATGTGTGTCTGGGTGTGTGTGTCTGGGTGTGTATGTGTCAGTCTCACGAACTCTGTCTTTCTCTCTCATATAAGACACTAAAGTGTAGTGACTGCATTTTGTCTACATAGAGATTCTTACAATTAATGGCAGACTATAAAGAGGTGTCACTGTATCTGTGTGTGTGTCTGTGTGTGTAAATGCCAGCCCAGCTCAGTGTATGTGGATGTGTCTCTGAGTGTGTGTGTGTCTGTGTCTATGTGTGTATGTTTCGTGTGTTTGTGTATGTCTGTGTGTGTCAGCCCGGCTCCATGAATGTGTGCATGTGTGTCTGTCTGTCTGTTTGTGCTTGTGTTTGTGTGTATGTGTCATCCCGGCTCTGTTTGTGTGTGTCTGTGTATGTGTGTCTGTTTATCAGTTTGTGTCTGTGTGCGTGCGTCTGCGTATGTGTGTGTGTCTTTGTGTGTGTGTGCGCGTGTCTATCTCTCTCTCTATCCCTCTCACAGGATACACTGTGAAGTGCAGTGACTGTGTACTTTGTCTATATAGAGGTTCTCACTGTTAATATCATACTATATAATGGTGTTACTGTGTCTACGCCTGTGTGTGTAGGTGGGTATCTATGTGTGTACCTGTGTGCGTCAGCCCGGCTCAGTGTCTTTTGTGTGTGTCTATGTTCATGTATGTGTGTGTGCGTGTATATGTGTATGTGTGTGTCACAACAGTGCCCATTGCCTTCGCTCCACGGGTCTGACCTCCTCGTCCACCGAATCCTCCGCTCCACCCTCGACGGCTGTGCCATCAGTCACTACTCTCCGAGGCTCTGGAACTGCCTTCCTCACTCCCTCTGTCTCACTCCCTCCCTTCCCATTTCCTGGTCTCTGCTGAAGACTTTTTTTTGGACGGCGGCTTTGGTCACCTTCACCCTCTCCCTGGTCCCTCCCCCTCCTCCAGCTCCTCCCCAACCCTCCCCAGTCCCTCCCCAGCCCCTCCCCCTCTCGGCCCCTCCCACTCTCTCCGGCCCCTCCCCCTGGCCCCGGCCCCTCCCCCGGCTCGGCCCAGGGATCCGTTACTGTGAAGCGCTCTGAGACGCCGTCCGGCGCGGAGGGCACTATATAAATCCAAGTTGCTGTTGTCGTTGTTGTCGTGACTGTATCTGTCTCACACTCTCTGTCTCTCTCTCTAACAGGATACACTGTAAAGTGTAGTGACTGTGTGCTTTATCTATAGAGAGGTTCTCCCTGTTAATAAAAGGTTATGTATAGAGTGTATGTGTGTGACTGTGTATGTGTCAATCTGTGTCAGCCCGGGTCAGTATCTGTGTGTGTGTGTGTTAGTGCGTGTCAGCCTCGCTCAGTGCATGTATGTGTGGGTGTCTCACTGTTTCTGTGTGTGTCCATATCTATGTGTCTGTGTGCCTGTGTCTGTGTCTGCGTGTGAGTGTGTGTGTTTGTGTGTCTGTCTGTGTGTGTATCTGTATTTGTTTGTCTGTGTGTGTAAGTGATTGCGTGTCTGTGTGTGAGTTTATCTGTGTGTGTGCGACTGGGTGTGCGCATCTGTGGGTGTGTATGTTTCTCTGGGGGTACGTGTGTGTGTGTGTGCGTGTGTGAGTCTGTCTTACTATTTCTGTCTCTCACAGGATCAATTATAAAGTGTAGTGACTGTGTACTTTGTCTATATAGAGGTTCTCACTGTTAATACCAGACTATGTAGAGGTGTCACTGTGCCTTTGCCTGTGTAAGTGTGTGTGTCCTTCCGTCCGTCTCTCTGTCTCTCTTCTCACAGAATACACTGTAAACTGTAGTGACTATGTGTTTTGTCTATATAGAGATTCTCACTGTGTGTGTGTGTGTATCTTTGTGTCAGTCCGGCTGAGTGTACGTATGTGATGGTGTGTTCACTCATTCTGTGTATGTTTGTGTATGTCTGTGTCTATGTTTGTCGATGTGTGTGTGTCTGTGTCTGTTACTATGTGTGGTTGTGTATGTGTCTGTGCCTGTGTGTTTGCAAAGTGTAGTGACTTTGTGTTTTCATTGTTCTCACAGTTAATATCAGACTATATAGCGGTGTCACCGTGTCTGTGGGTGCGTGTCTGTGCGTCTGCGTGTGTGTTTGTCCGTGTCAATGTGTTTGTATCAGCCCGGCTCAGTGTATGTATGTCTGTGTGTATAAGTGTGCCTACATGTATGTGTCTGTGTGTGTGTTTGTGTTTACATGTGTTTGTATGTCTTTGTATCTGTGTATGTGAATCTTTGTGTGTGTGTGTGTGTTTCTGTGTGTCTGTCTCACACTCTGTCTCTCTCTCCAACGGATACACTGTAAAGTGTAGTGACTGGGTTTTGTCTGTATAGAGGATCTCACTGATAACAATAGAACAGACAGAGTTGTCTTTCTGTGTGTCCGTGTGTGTGTGTGTATCTATCTGTGTGTGTGTGTGTGTCTGTGCATCTTTCTGTGTGTATGTCTGTGTGTGTGTGTGTATGAGTCCGGCTCAGTGTTTGTGTGTGTCTGTGTGTGTCTCTGTATGCATGTCTGTGTGGGTGTTTGTGTGTGTGTCTGTCTCACACTCTCTGTCTCTCTCTCTCTACAGGAACATTGTAAAATGTAGTGACTGTGTGCTTTGTCTATATAGAGGATCTCACTGTTAATATCAGACCATACAGAGGTGTAACTGTGTGTTTGTGTGTTTGTTAGTGTGTGTGTCTCTGTGTGTGTGTCTTTGTGTGCATTTGTGTGCGGATGCTTCTGTGTGTGTGTATTTGTGTGAGTTTGTGTGTGGGTCTGTGTGTGTGAGCGACTGTGTATGTAACGGTGTGTCTGATTGCGTGTCTGTGCGAGTGTGTGTGTCTGTGGATGTATCTGTGTGTGTGTGTGAGACTTTCACTATTCTGTCTCTCTCTCACAGAATCAATTATAAAGTGTAGTGACTGTGTGCTTTGTCTATATAGAGGTTCTCACTGTTAATAAAAACCGATATATAGAGTCTGTCTGTGTGCGTGTGCGTATCTATGTGTGTCAGCCCGGCTCAGTTTGTCTGTCTGTCTGTGTGTGTGTGTGTGTGTGTGTGTGTCAGCCCGGCTCAATGTATGTATGTGTGGGTGTCTCACTGTTTCTGTTGTG